CCTGGTCTCCTCACAACCACTGTTTGTTCCCCACCTGTTGTCTAGTCCTGGTTGTCTGCTCTACTCACAGCCAGCATTTTTGCCCCATCTGTTGTCTGGTCTTTCTTGGTTTCCTTGTCATCACTTTCTTATTTTTCTGGTTCCTTCCCTCAGATCACCTGAATAACATTCAAAGCAGCCAGTGTGTGTTCCCCACCTGTTGTCTGGCCCTTGTTGTCTTGTCTGTAATATCCACTGACAAATTCAAGTCATTTGAAAGAACTTTGTATTGTACTTTATAACACCAGTATGCTTTATTACATACACTGCGTATTCTAAGTTGGCGCATTAATTACCCTCTCATTGTTCTGAAATGGAGAGTGTTATCGTTACTCCCTAGTTATTGTAATCACTATCATTTTTTTGGGAACCATGTTGGCTTTTGAGTGCTTGATTTTCAGAGGATCAAACCAATAAACAACATTCACTGAGGACCAGAGGGGATGTGTAGGCATCAAAAACCAGGAATAGATACACACATACACTAGCTGTCTAATCCATTCCTTTTCGATATTTCTGTCCCTCTTTTCGATGGATGCTATCAGTACAAGTGGATATCAACCATGTTGCACATTCTATCAAAAGAAAGGACAAAGAGAATTTGTGTCAACCACAAACAATGTACATGTACATGTATGTAAAACATTCACACTGCAAACCTCTGCAAGCCATACAGTGCTTCTGTCAGCTTAAACTTGTGTAAATTCTACATGCTACAGCCACTTAAAACAGATTTAATCAATCAGCTCATCCAGCACACCTCAACTTTCTGTATAACCATCATTGCTTTAGGATATGTGTAATAATAATAATAACATTTATAAAGTGCATTTTTCCGAAGGTTACAATGCGCTGGGAAAAAAGCAACCACAGGAAAGTAAACCAGGTGCTAAGATAAAGTTAGTGTGAGCAGATGACCAAAACCTACAGTGGAAACAGATGAGATTTACAGTAAGTTTACATTTGAACTGTTGTAGGGAGTCGCAGTTATGAATACTAAGAGGTAATGAGTTCCAGCATCGGGGTCCAGCAACAGTAAAAGCCCTGTCTACTACTTTTTGGAATGTACGTGGTATTCTTAGGTTGTGTGTTGAGAGGAGGTTACTTCGGTTAGGTTTGCTGAGATCAAGAATGTTGATTATGTGTGATGTGTGCCAGTTAGAGCTTCATATACGTTGATGGCTGTTTTGAAGATGATGCGTTTTTGAACAGGTAACCAGTGTAGTTGTTGTAGAAGTGGTGACGAATAGCAGTGTTTGGGTTGTGTGAATATAATCCTGGCAATGTTGTTTTGAAGTTTCTGTAAACGACTAACATCAGAGTGCTTCATTCCATTTAAAAGAACGTTGCAGTAGTCAATTCGTGACAGGACTAAGGCTCTGGCAGCAGCAGCAAATCTTAGATATGTTTCGTATGTGGTAGTTGATGGATTTGGATATGGTGTTTACATGGGGTGTCATTGACATTGTACTGTCGAATGTGATGCCTAGATTTCTCACAGATGGGGATGGTTTAATTGTACAGTTGTTGACAGTGAGGGTCAGGTGGTTCAAACGCTTCTAATGGTAAGTGGATGAGGCTATTAGGAATTCAGTTTTGTCATTGTTAAGTTGAAGTTTGTTAACAATCATCCAGGATTGAACATGTCTGATGCAATTTGGCAACCTAAACAGAGCGCATTTTGCATCATTGGGAGTCATCGGATCAAATTCAAAATAAACCAGAATGTCGTCAGCATAAATGTGATAATGGACGTCATGTTGACGTGAAATATGTATGTCTTTTATAATTACAGGTTAGCAAGGGGTTACTGTACTCATTTCATACATTATTCATGATTCTGTTTTCCTTCCATCGACTTGGGGAATTCCCTCTCAGAATTTCGCAATATCCATTACACACTGTCACTAACGGCCCACGCCGCCAACATCAGTTTTTTTTCCTGGTCACATCTCCACTAGGATGCCACAGACTTCACAACAATCATCCCTCCACACTTGTTAAATAAAACTTTGCAGGCTCTGCTTGATTTTCTAGCTTTTTTCCAACTTAATGTAGGCTAGATACAGACATTAGATGTCAAGATCATGTTCATAGAGATAGAAACAGAAAGCTTAGGCCTAGGCCTGTCAGAAAAAAAAGAAAATTTAGGGGCCCTCCTTCCAACATGTCCAAGAACCAGAGATCACCAGTTTTTGTCAAACCAACCTCAGCCGAAAAACCCTCGGAATAGTCAACATGCAAGCCTAAGTACAATTCGGGGAAAAGAGCGATAAGACAACAAAACTTAACTAGCATACATGTACATGTATGTAAAACCTTTCGGTAGGGTTCCATCACACCCCTAACATCGCAGCTACAAAATGATTTCCCTGCTTTTTTTTTACTTCGCTGTCAATGAGAAATAGCGCCCTCTCGTGCACAGTAATCCTATCCGACTTGTACCCGAAGCTCCAAACGTCATGATTGTGGCTGCAGAATGCGAACGTTTCAGTTTCTATCGCATAAACACATGTAGATGAGCATTTGGCAACATTTCGGAGGTTTCAACACACACCTTCACTTAGGACTTCTATTATTATCATCATGGGCATAAATCCCAGGGGTGGTGGAGTATATTCCCTACTTCTCATCAAGGGGTGATTCCGCCCCCTCCCCTTCATGGGTGAGAAAAAACATTAAGGCAGATGGTGGGATTCTTTCTAACTTCAATACTATGTTCAACAGCCAAAGGGAGACCAATTTTTTTTTAAGCCATAAATATGCTGTTTCGATGTAAGGCTCTGCTGGAGTGTAATACATGCACATCCCCGAGCGTTAAGGTGTCAGAACCACCCAACCCCACTTTTCAAATTTTCATTGCTGGGCGAGTCGTCCCACAATCCCACATCCTCCCCAGTTCCTGGCACAAATTTGTGCCACTGAATATCATCATTTCTAAAGAGAAAAAAAAAACAGACTGCAATTTTCTGGCTTTCAAAGTTTCAGTAAGTCTACATCTTTTATTGCATCAGCATTTCACAAGTACATAGGAGGTATACTCGGGAACACGTGACACTGTTCACAGTTAAATGTCCACCTCACCTTATCATTTGACCATGATGAGAAAAGGGAGTTTGCTCTCTTCCAATGTCAGAATTTTTTGATAAATTTTGGGAAGTTCAGGGGAATCATTTTAAAACCTCAATATGAGAAAATGTCATCTTAACAGTATTGATTCTTCCAGTTCCAATGAATTTTCACACAAAAGGCTCAGACTAAGTTCCTCATTTTGTGGGGAAGGCAGCTCTTGAACAAGTAGACTAAATTTCAGGGGCTGCTGGATGAATATGAACACAAGGGCACTGTATGTTAAGCCTCCAGCAACAAGAGCTGGGCTGACTAAAGAGTAGACCTTCCTTTCCTACCGCCGTGCTGTATGGCTGGTCAAGGTTTGTGAAACTGTTCACCCTTGGATGCCAACCACCTTGCCTCAAAATTACCGTTTTTGCTTCTTTGGTGTTGAAATAGTGAATCATTTCCACTTTTACTTACTTCATAAAAGTGTTATTTTATGTAAAATCATGGGAATGGTTATATTGGTTTTGTGCTGAGTGCTGGCCATACTTTTGGTTGCCATAAGGGTTCTGGCAACAGTTCAAAAAGTCTCTACCACAATGCTTGGTATGGTACTGGGCCTATTTGACAGCACGTGACTGGTATGGTCAATGTAGCCTCCTCCCCATACAATGGCTGCCACAATCTAGGCTGAAATAATCATTTGCATCTAATCCTCATCACAACAGCATTCAAAACTGTTGTACTAAGTCGGTGTACGCACATAGAAGGTTACTCTTTTCCAAAAGATATCTTTCTTCTCGTCATCTACTATTTCGCTCCAACAGTGGTTTATAAGGAAACACAAGCAAAGCAGGCATTGGCGAAAGAAAATACAACAAACACCCTTCACCACAATTTGGAATAGGAAACTCGAACTCCCACTGTCTGAGACCAAAATTTGTTAAGCTCCGTCAATAACAATTTATAACCTAAGCACAACTGGTATAATAGCTTAAAACACACTAATCAATTACGCACCGATACAATAAAATCTCAATCATATCCCACTAATAATTCTCTCCCTCTAATACGACTTGGTGGTAACACATAACACACACTGTGTTGGGTTCAAATGACACATGCAATGTTTTAACCACTTCCTGCCAGGGTAGTTATCAATGTTGATGATGCTGGGCCGGGATATTTATCATTTTTTTCTGTTTTCAAAATTCTTCATTTACTGGACAATTACAAACACGTGAAGGACTGTCTGGTGTACACTCTAGACTGACAGACAAAATCTATTGACACCTGAGTATTTAAGCCAGGCCTGTAGCCTTGTAAAAAGAGCCCAGATTTTGTGGGTATAAAGTAATAATCTTTTGTTCACGAACCTGGCTCAGTGCGCTGCTCACCTCTTTTCAATAGGGGCCAGATTGGCATGCAGCGGTGCTGTGTGGCTCATCGCTGCGGTGGTGGGGTACTTTTGTCCCCTGTGGTAATCCGCTCGCTCTAAATGCCCCAAACCCTGGTATACTGTCAAAACAAGGTAGGATTACCTCCACTTTTGAGAGTGAAAAAATGTCCGTAATGTCCAGCAGCCTGGTCTTCTGTTCCAAGAACCGTCTTTTGTTACAAGGCCCTGTTCCCCTTGTCCGAGTTTGGAGACCCTGGCCACGCATATAAAGCATACGTGTCCAGATCCGGAATCCCCGGCAGGGAGTGGTTAATACAGTGCACTTGGACAGACCTTTGGCATTGATTGGGAATGCCCTTGAATAATAATAGAGACTATGAGTGTACATTTGAAATTGATACTGGAAGATCCTTGCCCATTTATGACAACTCTTGCAGGTTATAGGCTAGTGCATGACATTTACCATCACCATGAACTGGACATGCCCAAAGACACCGTGAGCCTGAGCACTACATTCAAAATATTTGATGGGTTACAGGATCCTCACATGATGAGAACTCAAAAACTGACTCCAAGGAATTACAGTTCTGTTATAATTTTACATTTTGGACTGAAGGGTGCTATAAAACCCAAGTGGACTGGCATCATGCAGTCACTTGTGCATGTCCAGGGGCCCCCTCAGGCCTTTGAGTGACCAAAAGGTGGTTCTCCTTCCGTTTGCCTTTGACCTCAGGAAATAGGACCATCTTGCCACTCACAGTCCCATGGGGCGCAAAGACATGCACTAGTGACCTCATCGCCAGTTCATATATTCATAATATGATGCCTGAGCATAACCAACAAATTAATTATGCAAAGACCTCTTCTTGACCTCCAGACTTTGACCAATCCGCAGCCATGTACATTCATTACAAGCCTCTGTAGGGAAAGTCAATTATGTATAATGGAAACAGGTTCAGCAAATAGGTTCAACAGAAAAGAGTATGGGTCAGGGGACACCTGTCAACCAATCAGCAGTTTTTAGCATGTTTCTGTATGAAATGAGGCCATATAAAATTTGCATACTCATATGTATGGCTATTAAAGTTCGATCAACGACCATTTATAGATCACTGGTCAATTCTCCTTGGTAATCAGTACACGAAATGTATCTTTGTTACTATGAAAACTTGACCCATGGGTAACCAGCTATCGCAGATCGAACTTGGTCTGTAGCGCTTGTGCAGGACACTTGCATCAAGCAAATCCCATGACTGTGATCAGTACTGTGGAACTGTGACCTGCTGACCATGTGTCTCCTAACTCTTAACACAGGGCTAAAAATTTACCATGGATCACTCTGATATGTTACAACTAAGCATGATTACGGCTACACAGATTCTGAATAACATACATATTGCAATTCAGTCTTAGGGAGAGGGTCACCACTGCCTCGCAAATATAGCAAGGCTTACATGTCTTATCTAACAGTCCAAATCTTTCTCACACCTCAGCACAGATGTGTACAAATGTGACACTGCCAATATTACATTCATAACTATTAATATTACATACATATATATTTGCTTATTATATCTAGTCAAATGTACTGCAGTGGAGGCTACATGAACACTGGAGCTGCCAAGTAAGTTGCACCAATTGGGTAAACTGTGGTCATATGACCTGGTAGCACTGCACAAGGACCACTAAATAGGGCTGTAATAGCCCGCTACATTTGCAACTATCTCAGTTTAAAGCTGGTGTGAAAGACTACTGTTCTATGGTCATTTAGGTCTACCTGCACCAGTTTTCCATGACAAAAGCCTGCTCAATGTAACAGGATCCAGCAGGTTAGCTTGCCCATGGCCTAGCGACCTCAGAGTCCAAGCCTACCAGCCACCAAGCGACCCAACAGCGACACAGTTCAATCATGTTTAACTCCACTGTGACCACAGCTGGCCATTTTCAATAGACTTGACTATATAAACCAGCTACCGCCCTCCCCGCCTCTATAGCCGTACATTCTGGTGAAGCTCTGGCTTGATGTCAAAGATGAGGTCAAACAGCTGGGCCAGGACTTGCTCTTTGTTCTTGGCGACGCGCATCTCCATCTCGCTGATCTTGCGCCGCGTCTGCTCTTCCACCTCCTTGGCCTGATCTCCCTTGGTGCCCAGGTACTGCTCAGATGGGAGGAAAAATGTAACGATAGAGGAGGAATTAATATCTCCAACTCTGTACAAATTGTTGCTTTTACTTTTCAATGATACTTTCCTTTCTAACAGGACTGTGCTTGTACTCTGTGTTTTTTTCTGTGACTGCAAGACAATGGACCTTTCCCATGAAATATGCAAATTAGACAGGCGCATGCGTGCTACTAACACTGGCTGGCAAGTGCATCTGTCAAGACAATCGACAATGTAAAAAAATTGGTTTAACCAGGATTCTGGCTCATTGAAGGCCAATCAACACTGTGTTAAAATCCTTTTCCAATACTTCAGGACACTTTTCTTGAACTGAATGAAGTTTCCAGTGTCCTTGTCTTTGAGTTCCGTACTTAAGTTGAACTATACCAGTACAGAAACGGCATGTATCAGCTAGTCATTGTGCGCGCAGGGAGATTTGTATTGTTACGTCATTAATTTAAGCAACTTTGCCAGTGGTAGTACCAACTAGTGGCAGTGATGCACATGTGCCTGTCTTATTTGCATTTTTCATGGGAAAGGTCCATTGTATTTAACCCTACCCCCAGGTTTTTTTTGCTAGGGACCCTTCTCAATCCTCCACAATCCTCCGATTGGGGGAGGTCCAAAATTTTGTTTCTCCCTCAATCTGCCCAAATCCTCTAACATTTCTTTCAAATGTTACTTAGAGGTGTGCCTATCACATCAATCCTTGAAAATTCCTGTCAAGATGTTGAGGCAGTGCAAATGGCATTCTTGAGCAGTGCAGTTGATTCAAAAGAAATATCGGGCTGAATTTATGCATGGCTACGCAAAAACAACACAAGGTCTAACCCATGACATTCATGCATGGCATCCTTCATAATCAGCCATGCACTTTTGCCATTCACCTTCAATCCTCCAAAATGCTCCAAAACCGCCGGAAGGATTTTGGAAGTCTGAGGAAGTTAGGGTTAGTTTCTTTTTTTTCCCCCAAGTTTTTACTTGTATTTTCAATTTACATGTATGGTGTAATTCTAAGGTTGTTTGCATCGTTTTCAACAAGTGGGACAAAGAATTTTTTGGTTTATTAATTAACCCTCCTATGCTGAAGTCACTCTTTGGGTCATTTGGTAAACACCTCAAAGAAGCACAGCTGTGTCGTGCTGTGCACTGCACCAACATGCAAGAGAGTGACCTTGGGCACTTGTGCATATTTGTGCTGTAAAACCAAAGGAGGGTTAATTATGATGAATAATAAATGAATGAATTTCACATGGGATTGATGGCCCTTGACATTTTTACACACACAATAAGAGTTTCATCAAGGACTGAAAAATCTGCCTGTCCCTTTCAAGCAAAAGTCAAAAAACTACTTATATTCCCCAGATGAGTTGAGAATTGACACCCCTCAAGTGGGGTTATCTGAGGACATATTCCTAATGCATCCATTTTTTTCAAAGAAGATGTTAAGACTTGTTCACCAGTCTCACAAATTTATAGGAACATAGAAAAAAGGGGCTTGTAAAAGAAACAAAAGCTGGTAGTCCAGATTCAGGACAGATAGATGTTTGATAGGATAGGACACTACTCCTGGATTTGTGCACAATGGGGGATTTTGGAAGATCCAGGATTCCTTGGATAGATGCCAGAGGATTTAGGATTGAGACCACTTCCCTGTCTTAAAATGGGCATTTATAAAATTCTTTTGGGCTATAGCTGGCTGCAGGGCAAGCTTGGATGTGCAATGTGTTATAGATGTACAATGATATCTTCATCCGATCACGGACTCACATTCGCCTGAGTCTCTTGGAACTTCTCTTCCCTCTGGCGTCGGTACTTCTCAATTTCTTCTTGCGCCTCTTCTTTAGCCTGCTTTAACCTCTTGTTTTTCCCTATGAAGATACAAACATGACATGTCAGATTATACTTTTTGGGTATCTACTGGTAGCAGCAATCATGAGCAACAGCCACATCAGTTATTGACTGAAGTACAGGACTGGTTAATACCTCAAAACCAGGAAGGCTTTTTGGTGACTTTTTTCGTAAGAACCCAAAGTTTTTCATTTCATCTCTTATGTATGATCTGATGAAATTTTCCAAGTCATCTGGCTCTTTTTTTTACATTTTCAAACACTGGAGTTATGATTATCAAGATACAGGTCCAAATTGGGAGCCTTTTCTGATCCGCTATTTACCTTTATGTTTGTAGTGACCAATGTTTTGGAAAGAACTTATGGAAAACAAGTAAAACCAATTTGCTGCAAATTATGCATGTAGTTCAAACGTTCAAGACTGAATGGTAAAACTGTCGGACGTTTCTGTCCCCGTTTCATCTACATAAATGTTATTTCTAAAACAACCGTTCTCCAACAGAGCAGTTCAAAAGTTCATATCCTTCACTAAAATTTTTCTAGAGTGGGGAAAACGTCCAGCTCCAAGCTTAGGGAGGCAACTTTTTTTTCCTTAAAATGAGGGAAAGACAAGTTTTCTGTGATTAGCAACCTAGTGGGAATACTTAGCTGCATAAGTAGTGAACATATTGGTGCAATTTCTGCTCATAAAATGAAGTGGGTATTTCATCATGTCTCCGGGTAAACTTAAACCAAATCGAAAGCCAAATAAAGACAAATCCCTATGAATCGGGTCAGGGCCAACAATCGACGGAGTATACACAGGGCCCTGTTTACGGGTCCAGTTGGTCGTGTAATTACTTTTAAATAACACACCTGTAGGAGCTTACATGTTCTTAGTTGTGTTCAGTGTTGTTACTTTTTGTCCACAGAAAGAGCAATGCAATGAAACATCTTAAATAAATAATTCACAACATTTAACATGTTTAACTTTAGACACCTGCACTGACTAACATGCGTGATCGTATTGTGGTCAGATCCCTTATTTCACCATTTACTGTGAAAACCAATCACACTTGATAATAGGTGGCAAAATTGGGGACTTTGCGACTAGTAATGGTCAACAGTACAACTCATGAACAGTTAGGCCTACACACGTTCAATCATGTAATGACAAACTGCCGCAACCGCTTAACCCCTACCCTACCAGCCTACCTGCAAATGCAACCTAAGTTGAGTGTTTAATCCTCAGCCATATCCATATTTACGAGTGAATGTGAGTAATCATGGTAATAAGTGCGCGGAGCTACGACTTTGATCATATGATCATGCTGACAATGGTTGATCATGTTGAAGTTGAACGCGGTTACAATAATTTCAATAACGCATAATCACGACAATTTATTGTTGTATGAAACGCCCTCGACAATTCTCCAGTATTTTAATATGCAAAAGAAAAAATACTCACGTTTTCTCGAGTCCGCGACCCTTTCTGCGGCTTTCTTTTCGGCTTGAAGTAACTGCTGGATGCCCGGGGTTTGCGCTGCCATTTTGCTTAATGATGAAAAGCAAGAAATTTACGTAGGCTACACAAATTGCTATACGGATCCGGTTCGAATGACTCACCACTGAAAATACACACAATCGTGAGAGAGAACCAGACTAATATCACGTGCAGCCATCGACGGCTGTTTACTAGTGACTGGCCTCCGATGTCTCTACGACTGTTTTACGGTGATCAAAATGCTCCTACCCGAGAATCAGAGTTGTAAGATTTGATGTACATATCACAAGGATTAATCTTTTCATGAAAGGCATAATGCTACATTTTCCCCAGAGGAAGAGTGTTGACAAAAAACAGGGGTAATTCAGCCTGCACTTTCGGATCTGAGTATGTGCAAAAAATTGACGAAGAAAAATTCTTTTCCTGGATTAAAAAAGAAAAATAAAATCCTGATTGTACTTGTCAACAGAAACTGGTGACAGACATAAATCATCCAACCACACACAGGTATTGCAAGGCAAGGGTGCAGGAACCCCCCCCCCTCCGAAAAAAAATGAAAATAAAAAAAGGAAGGTATGGGGATGAAAATCACCAATTAGCATGAATCTACCTTGAAATTGACCCACTTCCATGGTTAACCAAGAACCTGTTATCATAAAAAGTAGTCATGTTGTTGATGAGTGCCCCCCCCAAAATCTCCCTCCACCCCTGGAATAACATCTTCCTGATGCACTGTACCTAGAGTAGCTATACAGGGGGCCACAAAAAATTTCAAGACCAGCTAAGATACACTAACATACTTTTCTCTGAATTTTCTTTTACTGAAAAGCTCGACACTATTTAGTAGATAAGATATAAAGCTTATTATCAAAGCAGATTCAAGGCTTCAGGGCTTACCAGTGTCCTGGATTCCGTGCCAGTGCCTTCTGCTACTGTCTCTGAATAGGGCCTATTGTACATTGATGCCCTGAATGCCTAGGGAAAACTGGTGCCTACAACGATAGTAATCTGGGCCTGACTGACATCTCTCTTTCCTTCTGCTTGTTTTCAAATTTATTTCACAGCCAAAAATTTAGAAACAAAAAGGTACTGTTTGTGCCTCCCAACTTGAAAAAGTACATTCCACCAGCAATATCACTACACCCCAAGTCAAGCTTTACAAACGGTTGACAGAAATCACTAGTCTGAATCATGAAAGGTAAAATCAAAGTCATGTATCACGAAAATTCAAGAAAATTACAGGTGTCACAAATCTTTAAATGCACCAACTTCCTCTTTATTACACTGTCTTTATTATGTAAAAAGCCAATGCCTCTCTATTTTTAACTGACAAAAGCAAAAGCCTAGAGTGATATGTCTCTTCTATGCCACAAGAACACAATTTGCATCGCGGTTGAATTTTTCAAAAGCACAGACTTGGTTATTGCTTCTTCTTTTTTTCACTAACACCAAAGAAAAACTACAAACGCTTAAGTAAACTACAATTGCGTTTGGTACACTATGCCTTGATTATGCCAGCAGATTTTCTTGGGGTTTATTTCTTTTTCATTTGGAAATAAGGCAATTAAACTATTTTCTTAAATAACGGAAAAGTACTGGAATACAATATTGTAGAAATTTCAGACCAGCAAAGTAACACATAAAAATCAGACTATCCAGAAAAACATTGGCAAGAATGTGAAAGATTTCAGGGAAAAGAATTCAAAAATGGAAAACCAGAGAGAACTACACAGGAGATCGAATATTGAAGCGAAGATTAATAAATCGTGCCAACTATAGGAACAGGCACACAATTTCTTTATTTCAAAAAGATATTCAAAGTTCTTAATACATAATTCAAAGAATAAAATCTGGATTTCAGAAAACTAAAATCATAAAAGGGAATACACTCATTAAGAAAATAAAAATGTCTGTTTGTGACCAAAACAACAAATATTTCCGAAGGATCTAGCAATAAAATTATAACCTCTGTGTCTCCAGTTTGACTTTTTTTCGAGGCCAAAATTACAACAAAAAGAACAAGTGGCTTATGATTTAATGTTTTCGATTTGATCTCCCTACTGCTATGCCAGGGACACTTTTTTATTAATGATTTGTTTCTTCTTGTTGGGTTTTCAATATGGAGAACAAGTGAATTCCCTTCACTGTATTCTTGGCTGGAAGTGACAACATCCATGTTGGAGAGCAACTGAGCTTCCTTTTGAAGGATTTCCTTGGAGAAATTTTTTAGGCTTTCTTGGAAGAAAAATGTTTTCAACCAATGCTGTCTGACATGAAGCCTCAGCTCTCACAAAGATGTCTGGTTAACCCAAACCCTTCAGATGAAGAGTACATCATATCCAACAGTGTTGAATTTGGCAAAGGCTCGGTAACTCAAACCAAAACTGAACCAAACAATGGCCAGAGTGAACAATTAAATAATCAATGCAGCCCTTCGGCACTCTACTGATTTTTTTTTTTCAAAAACTATCATTGATTTTCATTTCAGATGAGTTTCAATTCACAGCTTATTGCAAGCAATGAATACTTTGAAGTCTGATAAGTAGTTTCAAAACTGCACAAAAACCATGCATTTCATAACTAGATTCAGCTTATGTGGAAAAGTTTCCAGCAGGACCCGAATTAAGGTAGAGTGAATATCTCAAAAATGTGCCTGCTTGAAAAATTTGTTGGTTTTGATGAAAACATGTCGATAAAGTACCCGGCTATGAGAAACTGTTTGGAGCACTTTCAAACAAAGTTCACAAAAATTCAAGAAGCTTTCAAAGAACTTAGAGCAACTGGAAGCTTCGTACCTAGCAATATGCAAAGCCACATAACCTGGCCAGCTTGCACAGCATTTTGGCACCAAAAATATAAGCATGCACCCCAGATATTTCTAGAAAAGCTACTTCAGCACTGAATACTAGAACACCAAAGAAGTAAAAGCATTTAACCAAGAACACCCTATTTGATGCCAAATGCATATGACAGCTAGGATGACACACCGTTTTCCACTGTTATCAGCATCAAGTGCTGAGTTTTTCACTCCCTGTCAATGGACTCCGTGAGTGCCTGTGAGAAATACTTTTATCTCTGTAGGGCACCTCCTTTAAAAGATTCTTCACCAGTCAAAAAGGAGTTCTTACACCCCTTAAGTACCATCATACTGGTTCCTGCCCCCTCTATTTTATGTCTAAAATATAGCGCAGGGATTGGAAACCTGTCTTTGTTTGTTTCCCAACCTAAATCTTAAAGTTAAACCAGGTGAATGAATCGGTGGGCTGACGGAGTCCAATGAGAGAGTTTAGGAAGAGGCATCCCCACTTCCACCTTGGGAGCTGCGGAGACGACGATATTCCTTCAGCCTGGGAGAAAAAGTAAATTGAAATGCGGAAGTGACATACAGAAGCAACAGCACGGAACAACTTGCTATTCACCCTAACCGTGCCAAATGCAGCAAAGCGCTGAAGGTGTAAAATTCTGGTGCACTTTGCTGCACTGAGCAATCAACAGCAGTCACAATGAACATCTAACAAAAGAGGTACCGCACATGTGCGGTACAATAACAATGGACACTCGTTGTTAGTGCACTGTGTTTCTTTTGTTTGATGTCCATAGTGAGTTTGTAGCGATGCCCATGTTGAGCCAATAGGAGCTGGCCCCATTGAACAATGTTATCGATGGATCCTGTTGTGGCTGGCAACCACAGAATCCAATGGCCTTGGTGTTAGCCTATTAGATCCTGTTGCTCTGGGCAGGCAAGCCACTTTGACAAATGATACAAACTCATCTGTCTGGTAGGGTTTCTAGCAAAGATAAAGCGAAAGGTAAAGGCAACGGTGTGCTCAATGTGAGGTCGTTTGTTGCAAAACTGATTCAGGGGTTTCAAGTAATCATCCTGATCGATGTAATTCTCAGCTTGAACATCCACAGCCATTTACAAGCTGAAGTCCAGCGTGAGAATTACGAGCCACTCAATTCCTTTTATAATAGCTAGCGCATTGCTTTGTCAGTACTTGGGTCCCCTGTGATATAAAGTGTGGACCCCCCAAGATAATGTCCATTTAAAAATGTCAACAGGCAGTGAATGGGTTTAAAGAGGGCACTCTTGCTTAATGATGCCTTTTATTCAAGATTTTTTGCTTTTGGCCAACCAGTGATATGGCAAAGTAAACAAAAGCAATCATTATTGAGCTTATTAAGTTCTTGTCTTATTCTCTAGAAACTTTTTTGAATTAAGTAACAACTGAAAAAACTTCAAGAAAAGTTCACCTGACGGCGTTGACCTTGATGAATCCCAGCGCATCTTCTGGCTCATAGTTACCCTTCAAGACCATGCTGGTGGAAAAACAAAAGCCATAAAAACAGTGTAAGAAATGCATAAATTACTGTCCAGCTGGCAAAAGCAAAACTGCTGATTCTTCCCACCTTTCAAAATTCAAGAGCTTCTTTTTCCACTTGAAAAATTAATTTCATCATCAAATTCCTGCTCGAAGATTCACAGAAGGAAAATTACTGAAATTCCAGCAAAATGAGGAAAACTACCAGTATCCCTGACAAACTGTTTGAAAGGAAACAAAGGGCCAGACAAATTAGCTTTTAAAAGTGCCTCGGTATCATGATCTCGTTTATTTCCTCCCTCTCAAAAGAGTGTAGATTTCCAACTCCTTTCCCAACCACAACCTCGACTTTCAAAACACTGATAAAACAAGATGTCAGCTGTAGATCCATGTAGGAAATGGTTGAACTTTTTCCAAATAAATTATCACCTTGAACATTAAATGTGTTATTTCTGGACTTTGTGCAGGTACTGGAGATGGTATTCTGTGACCACTTTAGAGTTCCTGTTTGATGAATAATTTGCATGCACTGGTCTCATGGTGTGCACTGCATCTAATTTTCATCTGAATGAGCACAAATCCATAATGCATTCATCTGGACACAGGGTGGCGATAAGGTTTAAGTATCTTTCACAACTTTGTCTTTGATATCACTTTATGGGGAACAATATCTATAGTAAATATACTTTATTGTGCAGCATTCTTAAACTCCTTCAAGAATAAAGTACTCAAAGTTCTGAGGTATAAGAATTTGTCCAAAAATCTGTTGACCTATTTCTCATAAATTAGCTGGTGAAGTGTATGAAAGCAATTGGTTCTGGAGCTTTCGCACACAGGAGCTTGTGGATTGATTTGATGATATTCTTACCTGACAAGCTCCTCGTTGTACAGCGAGGTTGCTGAGCAACGAGACTTGACAGACACATTACCCTTGAAGATCTCCACGGTAACAGTTCCGTCCACATTCTCCTGGCTCTTGTCGATGCAATGACGGGTAAACTCACACTCTGGACTGTACCAAAAACCTGACAGAAACAACAGGCTAACTATCAATAGACCTATGAAAAGACACTTTATTCAAGTGGAGACACATAAGCACACAAACTACAGTACAACTACAAGTTCAATACTTGTTCTGTTTTCAAATGTTTCAACACGGTCAAAGCATACACCGCATCATATTTGTTTTTTTCGTTATAATAAATCTGAACTTTTTTATCAACATTTTAGTCATTTACCTATTTTTGTACTAATGCATTTTTGGGTTTTCATTTGTTCATATTTCTTTTGGAAAAATACATTAATATTGCAAGGTCTCAGTTAAGCAACTGACCCTAAACCTGCTCAGTGCAGCAAAGTGCAACCGTTATATAAATCAACAAGTCCTTCAACTCGAACTACAGGGGAACTGATAAAAAATCCGAGTTATTCAGATTCTGAGCCAACAAAAGTTCCCCGTGTCTCCCCCACACATACAAGCACAGTGCACAAGTAACCCTACTTGCCCCGTGGTGGCTACTGGAAACATTATCAGTGCTTACTTCCTTATATCCAGGAATAAATTTCTTCTAAATTTCACTACCGGTAGTTTGCTGAGATTTCATGTTTTTCTTATGTAGGAGTTTCTATTCTACCGATAAATAAAACTGTGACAATATAAAATACATACGCTACAATGGAGAAGTACATGTACGTGTCCCAAGTCGACACTGCACCATCTTACCTTCATAAACTTGCTCAGAGAATCGAAGTGATAGACCCTGCTTGATCCTACGCACAGCCTGTAGGTATGAAGACAAAACATTCAACACTGAAGTCCACAATAACGAATTAACTCAAACTCGCTACAGTTTATTTAAAATCATATGGAAATCAAAGGACTGAAGGCTGCTAGGGTTATTGTCTACATAAACTTTAATTTTTTTGTGGTTCTGGTGCACAGACCAGTCTCAATCATGCGAGATTACTGAACACTTTAGAAAGCCACCCCAAACCTGAATCAGTTTCCCTGTTTTTACACAAAATTGTCTCTTTGCTTTTTCTGAATTTCAGTTGACCCACAACTCCTGTGGTCATGAGGATCTTAAGATCAGTGCTGGAGTTGAATCCATCCCAGGTCCTCTCAGTAGTCTAGTCACAAGTCCTTTCACCAGACCCCTCATAGGTAACAGGGAGATTAAACAACACAGAAGTGCTTTTGTCACTGTTCAAGTGTTTAGCTTGTGACTCGGCTGGAGACTGGCTGACTTTTAGTGGACATGCAGAGACATGTAGCGGACTTGACTACAGTGCTGGTTGAGATTTGACTATGGTGTTGGTTGACATTATCTGCACTAATAAGCAGGTCATGGTTTGAGTCACACGCAAGCAGATTTGTGAATTTTTTCTGCTCCTAGGTCTGGAATGCAACAAGTGTACAGTTTTAAATTAACTACACTGGCCAAGAGCAAAAAGATTGTTCAAATTACACCTTCCCATTGCAAAATTCCATTAATAGGGATAAGTGACACATCCACAGTTTTAACTAAGGCTTCCTGACCACACCTGACCACACTTTATTCCTTGGCTTTGATAGGTCTGTTATCCTTCACCCGTCAGCCGATGGTGTCTACTTTTGGTATGTCAGTTATTTTATGCCAGCCAATGGTAGATAAAACAATGGTTTGCCATCAGTACAAAAGCAAGATTAAACCCCAAAATAAACACTACACTATTAAATACTAAATGAACAACCCTCTTTAAAAGTTTTGAGACGAGCACATTTTGAGGTAATGTCTGTCACCCATCAAAGATGGTGCAAGTATTCAGTAAACCCTTGCCACCCATATGACTAGTAAGCAATGAAATTGTAAGTGTATAACTGTATAAATGATGTCCTTGCTGAAGGCAATACTAATGATTGTATAAAACTCTTTGCAAGGCACACCCTTTGAAATCTGCCATTTAGCCACTCCCCTAAATGTCTGCTTTCACTTTATCCTCTTAACCCCTTCGCACCTGGAGGCGGCTCGACACACCGTAAAAATTGAGATCCTCAGCCTGCTTTTCAGCTATTATTCTCAGCCCACACTTGAGCCAACATGGTGAAAGAAGACAGACCCTGGCTCTTGTATATATGGTAATTGGTCTTTGTGCATAGCCCAGAAATGTAAAGACCGAATTTGCATCATAATCACCAGCTTCACAATAGTCCCCACTTTGAAAAGAGGCAACAGGAATGTGGAAGGGTGAGTAGAGTCGCATGCCACTGAACAATCAGCCTTTTCAGGGCCACAAACCGAGAATTTGCAGTTTGGCAGGAGGCCTTCATGGCCAAGCGAGGCTGGAATTCTTGGAGTCGGCTTTCGGAAAAAATCCGTCGTCAAGGGGTTAATATAAATGCCACCTAAAAGCCAACAAACTTTTCTTCCAAAAATGTCAGAGTCTATTCTTTCTTTCACAGTTTCCAATAAATACTTATTTACTAATTTCCAATCTATACCTTATCCATGGTTATATTCTCAATATCCAGGTGAGCTACTAGCAGAATTTGGCCTCCTGGACACTCATACACCCCTTGAATGAAAAGAAAAATGAGTATGATGAGAACTTCTCATTGAAAGTTAGAGGATTATCAACAGTATGAACTGTGAGAATTGAACTTTCAATCTTTGAATAAAAAAGGGTTCTTCTTCCCCTAAAGACTCCACACTACACTACAGTAGCACTGTGAGCTTGCTGTAATTACACAAAGGGCCCTTTAGCCAACAGTTGACATGCATAAGGTCACCACGTCAAAATCAGCCTCATACAAACAAGAGGCATGAACCACAAAGAAATGGAATCTTATACTGAAAAAGTACAACACACGTCCTTGTACTCCAAGCCATTGAATGGCTAATCCTCTATAAATATATTACCTTCCATTGGATTGAATATTTGGTTGTAGCAAATTCCTACAAAAGCAGCAGCAAAATGTACATGTTGTTATAGAAATCAAAAGGACAAACTTGAGGGGAAGATAATTTTTGGCCTTATTGTTGGTCATATGAATTCAGCTGCCTTTCAGTTTACTTGTATGAAATATGCTTTAAGAATGCTATTTGAAACCAAATAATTGAATTTTTTTCCTCTTTTATTTCATTGATTTTCCCCTCCAAATGATCAATTTGACAGCATACATATGAACATTTGACAACTGACTACACTGTACATTGAATCAAACTATAAATCAATCCTACAACATTGTCACTGGGCATTCCTGATGTCTCCTTCAATATTGAAGTATTGTGTAAGGTTTTGACCGGAACCACAAACAATCACTTCCTACAGGCAATGATTACTGCAATGTCTTTCACTATTGACAGGGGCCACTATCAATGGCCAACGGATTCGTTTATAGCACCTTGTGGCAGACAATGGCAGACTGCCAATTTAGGGCTCGACAACTCATTTGAGGGAACAATGACCTTCAGAATCACCTGACAGTAGATGTGAAGGTCACAATCACTGTCAAATTTACTTCTTTAACCCTAACACTCCTCAATCCTTGACCTGTTCGAGGACTGAGGAGTGTTTGGGTTAATCAACTGTTTGTAGTTGGCTCCAACGCAAACAAATTCCCCCAAATTGAAATTTTTAAATTGTTTATTAGTATTGGATATTGGTCTTACTGTAATTTATTGTGATTTACAAGTGTTGAGAACTATATGTGGTGTGTTGCTGGGTTAACCAGTGAGCGATCAAGGTGAGTTCTGCTATATGGTATATTTTCATTCTTTGTAGGCAGAAGTTAAACCAATCAATTAATAAAAAACTGAGACAGCATAGCATGCTAGATGAAAGCATACGATGAGAAAGTATTCAGGGAACTTACCACGACTCTTCATTCCAATGAAGCGGTTCTCAACAATGTCAGTTCGACCAACACCATGCTTTCCCCTGTCATGAAAAACAACAAACATTAGGAACTTAAAAAATAAACAATCCCATGTGTGGAAATAAGCTTGAAACAAAAGAAAAAGAGAGAACTATTCTTAACCATTTGCCAATGGTATCATTCCAGTTATCTTGTCCCAGGCACGGTATTAAGTTTGGCAGAATATACCAACTTTCTAAAATGACACGATACCACCACAACCCAAGTCCTTTACCAAGTTGAACTTTACAAATGCTCCAGGACACTGTTGTGAGGCAATTTTTGATGAAGCATCCGGGCTCATGGCCATTTGAGGGCTCCATGCACGCTCAACCACCATGGACTACTTCAAGCCTGTGTGTGTCAACAAACTTCATGGGAATCATTCTACAGTGGGAACGAGTACAGACGTCAGCCGCTACTACATACAAAATACACAAGAATGCCCTTAAACCCTTGGCATTATGGAAACAGAAAATCCTTGCATATTAACAAATCACCCAGGGCAACGTAGTTAAACTTACCCAATTTCATTCAGGTACATATACAACTCAAGAGGGTCTGTCTTCTCAGTGCCATCTGCCACATTCTTCACTCGCACAGGGACACCTGCCCACCATAAAAACAACACACTCAGCTTGATGAACTACATGTTCATGTATCTTGTCAATCAGATAGTTACTGAGGTCGTCTCTGGACTGTGATTTCTGATAAACACACCTGAAGTTATTGACCAAAATGTGACCTGTAACAACAAAATGGGCGTGAAGTTGCATTCTGCTCCTTCCAATTTTGACGGTTCAAAGACAGATATTGAGGTAGAGGTCAATTTTGGGGTTTTGTAATATTTGGAAAGATTAACTTGTCTCCTATTTAATTCCAAATATCGCAGGATCGCATATTTAAAAATGTCATTTTCTCAGCAATTTTGATGGTAGCATTATTCGTGCCTAGTCAGAAATGTTGAAACAGTGATGGAAACAAAGACCAAAGCTGTTAGAATAATGTCACATTATCACCTTATACTTTTCCCCTATGTGTTCCATGTACATACCACTGGAAAGCTCTCTTTCTGCTGAATTGAAAAATACCAGTATCTCAATTGTGACCCACTCTGCAAAAAAGGGTATTAAGGGGCACTATGCTTTTCACACTAAGGGCTTTTGTATGTGGACAGAATGATTTTTACTTCTTGATTTATTGTTGTCTATTATATTAATACTTTCACAATTCATACCAGAAACCTAGCTCTTGCTGTGAGTATTAAGAGACTTCCTTCTTGGCTGATTTCTTTTTCCTCTTCCTGTGATTAAAGGGCTTTATCTCTGAAAGCAATTCTGTGAACGTGTATGATATGATTATGTAAAAATCCCACTATCTCCAAATTACAAAATGCTGCAGGGTTCAAACCTGCACTAAATTAAAGCTTATTGTGACCAATTCAAATGTTTCTGTAACTCATTTTGAAAAAAAATGTCCCCTTATACCCATTTTTGTGGAGCTGGTCACAATTTTGAAAATTTCGACTTTCAGCTCATTTTGTGGTGACAGGTCACAAATCTTTCTGGGAATTTCTTTTAAAGAAATGGAACCCAAAGGCTACCAATATTTAATAAATTGCATGACATTTAAAGAACAATGACTTCTGTTAGAAAATCAATCAAAGCGTGTTCAATGGTGAAACAAAGCATATTGAGCAGCCGTCTTGCCTATTGACAATGGCAAAATGACAATTTGTGTATGTAAGGGACAATCAAATCCAACTATCGGAAATTTGCAGCACAAGTTATCTATTTTGCTACACCTGGCTTCCTCATTTATGAAGTTTTCTTTATAGGTGTCTCATATTTGTATCACGTTCTTGTAGAGTATTCAGGTTGGCCCCAGTGTTATTCTCTTGCCCTTGTGACCCAGGTTCAAATCCCACCTAAGTCAGTATTTTTACTTGTATCTATTTGTTCTATTTCTAATCTCATGTAATAGCCATGCAATTCAGCTTTTAACTGCAAATTGGTTTTGATAAAAATGAAATAAAGAAAGGTCAGGCTATCCTGATTGCATGCCAAATACATGTGGATAAAATAAATACATGCAATTTGCATCTGAGTTAAGTTCGTAACAAATTCAAACTTCGCAAACATGACAATCTATATTTGTGAATCGAAAGATTGTAGTGCAAGTAGTTATAATATAACTCTGCAAATATTTACACACCCCTTTTAAATTCAATCTCCAACTTGTCTGCAACATCAGGGGCTTTCTTTGGGTCAACGGTCATCTGATAAAGGTCATCCGGTGCCTCCGTCTGCAAACAACCGCACACAGAAAACAATCTCAGGAACACTTGTGAGAAAATAATGCACAGCGTTCATGAGCGTTTACCAAGTTAAATACAGTTTAGTGAAACACAGTGACAACTTGGTGCTGGTACTGCACACAAATGAAGTTTAACGAACAAATTACGAGACTGTCAAAGAATTAAAAAATCATATGTACAACTTGTTGATGTGCCGTACGTGTGCTTTTCTTTTTTTCTTTAAGCTCAATGTCATGATTAATATTCTAGTAGCTTCTTTGGTACGTAAACAGAGGTAACTCTGTACCCCGAAAATGAACATTTTTTTGTTCTAAATACGAATATGGACAGCCTTAAAGACAAACATGAAAGAAAAACCATGGTGAAAATTGTGATGGAGCGCATGTTTCTTTCCACTACTTATCCCTACTGCCCTAGATTCGCAGACAACACATTTACCATGGGATCTTCCAGGATACCAGACTCATAGCTGATGTGCATCAGGTTGGCATCCATGCTCCAGGGTTTCTTTGGGGTGATGGACAGCGGAATGTTCTGCTGCTTGGCGTACTCAAACAGGTCGTTACGACCCAGAAAGCGGTTGTAGAATTCTGGCATCTTCCATGGGGCAATGATCTGGATCAAAGAGGTTGATTACAACAATGAATGTATGTGCATTCATCACGTAATGATTCATGATTCATCCTTCATCCAGGGGCATGTTTTTGTGACCCTGGCCAGAAACCTGTTTCTGCTCCAATCACTGGTTTTGACTTTTTTCAATATTGTTTACACCTATATAACATTACCGTCTATTCAATGAATTGTTTATCACACAGGGTTTCTCTTGAAGTAATTCTAATGATTGTTTTATCAAAGATTTAGGTTTCAAATCTCTGCAAAAAAATGACTGAGCAAGATCGGGTAAATAGAACCCATTAACATCTTGTATCTCAAGTCTGTAATATATATAAATTCAACTTTAACTATGCACTACAATCACATGTGATAACACACAAAAATAAAATTCATCAAAGTAGTACGAAAATATGCCACTGAACCACTGTACAATGACTGTGTACTTCAACTAACCATTAAAACCAAGGAATTTTGTTTTTTGTTGACATTGTATAACCAAGAAAGAACCCAGGCAGCATATGTGACTCATGCTACTGACACACTGATGAGCTAGGTAGTTTTCTTCACAAGTGGTCAAGGCCTCAATAATGAACACAGGGGATGCCCCAATGAGCATTACACGTGCATAACTGAGAGAAGGGGGGGGTTCTAAATTGGAAACCACCACACACTGGGATTCACATTAAACACTGACTTAGAGAGCTGCTGGTTGGGTCTTCAAGGGTTAGGAAAGCCACATTTTTTCCATCAATCCCTGAAATTTGTCTTTTTTTACGTCAATGGAAGTCGCTCTACCTAATTCTACTCTGCCCCACTGTAATTAATTTCGTCAAATTCACAAACCTCGATATCAGGATGGAGGGCATAGGAAGACAACTCAAGTCGAACCTGGTCATTGCCCTGGGAGGTAAAAAATTCAAAAGAAAATAACGTAGGATTATTTTGCATTGTTACAGCAGTGTAACTTTGTAAAATAGTTACTTGTTTGGTTTTTGGTTGCAATAGTGAAATATACTTTTTCCTCAATTTCATCAAGTTTTGCACTCTACCCACAAGTTTTCTAATACTGTACTTGTGATCAGCGCTGCCAGAGAACTTCACAAAAATTCACCTGGGGCACGTTCAGGAGCACAACATGTGCACTGGTATCAGCGTACCCTGCATACCTTTATCACTGGAATGAAAGCAAATGTACACAAAGTAGGCAAACTGTGGAACCGAATGCACGGCACCCTAGGTTGTCTGGGTGAAAATTGAACCTGTTATCTCCAGCATAATAACACAGAGGATTTAACCACTTACCACCTATCTTTCCAAGATTAGCTGAATGGGTCATTTAGATATGAACATGTGGTTTTGTTTATTGCAGTCAAATACTAAAAGAGCGGGCTTCATTTTCACAATTTTATGGATAAGCGTTGATTTATATTTCATAGCAATCGGTGATGTTTAATTTTGTGGCTTCTTTTTAAATTAATGAGAAGAGTGTTCATGTATAAAAATAACAGGTAGTTGAAGAAGTAGTTCTTCCATCTTCCCAAACACTTCAATATGTGCAAAGTAAATTAACCCAATAAACCATTTGCAAGTTAAATTTGACCCAAATCTGGTACACTGAGTTCTTTAAATTCACATGAATATTACAACTTGAATTCTCCTTACTAAAACCACTGTAGCTATACCTCGTGATTCGGGGCAAGCTTTTGCTTAGTTACATAAGACACACCTCGCAACAATACACTGTTCTCAATGGATAAGAAGGGCACAAAGGAACCAGTCCATTCCAGAGATGGCGGATCGCTATGCAAAAGCCTGCCTCAAATCTTGAGGTAGCAACAGTGTCTTCAGTCTGGGGAATTCAAATTATGTTTATGTGCAGTCAGATAACTCAGTGCACCAGATTTTATTCAAATTTAACTTGCAAATGGCTTATTGACAGGAAGGGATAAACTTCTTCAAGTCGATCATTTATGAGCAGAATGCACAAGCAAGTGACAGTGGCTAATGCGTACTTTGCCTGTGGCACCATGGGAGATGTACTGAGCGCCTTCCTCCTTTGCACACTTCACCAGTCCCTTGGCTATCTGCGGCCGGGCGAGGGCTGTTCCCATCAGGTAGCGGTCCTCGTACAGGCAGTTGGCCTGAACGCTGGGCCAGATGTTATCCACCACAAAAGCCTTGCGCAAATCATCGACAACATACTGTTATACAAAAAAACAACAGAATAGAAAAATGTGAGCGGACACATACCACACGTCATACATGAGAAACATAACCCTGCTTTACTGCAAGTTCCAACTTACATGTACATCGTCTGACTTACAAAACTGAAAGTCAACGGCCAGGTGAGGAATGTCAATTGTGCAGTATTTTTCTGTATGCCCACAGATCTAAAATTCTTCAAATAATACTTCTAAAAGTGTATCCTTGTATTCTGTACTGGTGTTGCAAGGGGGGTACCTACTCCCCTTCCTCTCCCCCAAAATAAAACTGAAAAATAAAAAAGAAAAAAAGGGGTAAGGAAGCAAAACAAATGGGGAAACATGAGTGGAAAGTGGAGGAAAATCATTCAGTTGCTTGAAAACAATCCCCCAAATTAACCCTTTAATCATTTACCATATTTTAGCTTATGAGCGTGTGATCCTTTTCCTCTAGAAAATTCTCTCCCCCGCTGAATAAAGTAGGGATTCCCCCGAAAAAAAATCCTGATGACGCCTGCCCTGTTTTTAAATGTATCTCTTTAGTAAATAACTTTTGCCAAGTCAACAGACACAAGCCAAACAGTAAAAACCACACGAAGCACCCGGAACTACCAAGGCACAATTTGCTTTAAAAAATCGACCCAAAGCTGCAAGTTAAAAATACATGTACCGGTACAAAGAAACCTGTCACACAAAGAGTGGAACACTGAACTGGTGAAACAACAATAGAAATCTCCACAACAATGACATGTCAACGCTGTGACCTGCACTTCACGGCCCACAATTTTTCGGCACTAATTAGCACATCTTTTCAGCCAACCATCAACACAAACCAAAAAGGGATTTTCGCTCTTGGAGTATTTGATAATTTAAACATGAAGGCATTTTCGTAATAAAATGTTTGAAGTTTGATATTCAATGCAGTGCTGTAGCCAGAAAAATAAAATGAGCCACCACTGGCTCCATGGGAAAAAAAAGTGAGGCATCTGGCCGATTTTGTACATACATGTACTGTACCCATGTTTTCAAAATATCCAGCCATGTGCATATCTTTGTTTAAGTCTCAACATTAATCCGTCACTTATCCGAGGGACAGACAGGCTTTGGATCTACTGCTTGTGGAATAAATTAAAAATGGCAACCAATTCTACAAAAATACAGCTGGAAATAAAAAGACAAGACCTGTTTGTTCTCTTACATTTGAGTATTTTGTACCTGAGACTGGACCAGACCAAGGCAATCTTGAAACCTTTTGGTTTCAAAATTACATTGGAAACGGCAACAAGTTTACTGCATTGGAATCATGGAGTGCATAGTCTGCTGGTGCATTTGATCAATGTGCATATCAAACGTCTCTTCATATACACTCTAAACAGTGTGCGACCACAAACCGGTCCACTTGAGTACCTACATGTAGTACCTGTCGGTCCACTTGGGTACCTACATGTAGTACCTGTCGGTCCATTTGGGTACCTACATGTAGTACCCGTAGGTCCACTTGGGTACCTACATGTAGTACCCGTAGGTCCACTTGGGTACCTACATGTAGTACCTGTCGGTCCACTTGGGTACCTACATGTAGTACCTGTACATGTACCTACAGTATCTGCATAAAAAGCAACATTGCAGTTTAAAGTGGGCTCATGCTGTGTTTATCTACATAATCAGATAATAAGATTGAGAGAAAAATGTGTGATCATAGAGACGTATCGCACTGTGCACGTAAAAGACTGGGTAGCATTCATTCGAGAAATATGACTGACATCTTTTCTTACCTCCATGGACTGACAGGGTGGGTGACTAAAAGGGACAGCTCATGGCCGACATTAGCGATTACAATTAAACCTTTGGTTGCATGTGATCATTTTTAGGTGCAAATTTGACTGTTTTTGTCACACTGTACAGCGCTGATTCAACCAGGAAAGTGCTAAGTACTGTAGTACTCTATGTGGGTTTTTCAAATCCATTCTACATGCACCTTGATTCACTGCACTGCATTCCCATACATTTTAAATGGACAATCTCCACAACTAAGGCATACCAACACGACATACCAAAACCACATCTACCAAGCCTTAACACATGATACAAGTACATTATATCACACTTTATTTGCACAGTTGGGTAGATATCTCATGTTCCCACGGACTGAAATATCAAGCATTCCTAGGTATGGAAATTATTCAGCCACATCCACTCATTATGAATAATTAAACAATAATTAAGAACAACAATGCAAAAATAATAAAAATAAGGTGAAGTACATTTAAGAAAAAAACATGTTTCTCGTCCCCGCCCACTTCCTTTTTGCAGGCCACCTGGATTTGTTTTACTATTCTTATTTTTGAAAAATGCAGTAAAAAACACAAAGTGCATAAATTCATTGGAATATAAATACCTGAGAAATAAGTAAGCCGAAGTTTTCAGTATAGACTCTGTCGTTCTATTTGTACACCACATAAAATCGACGCACGATTGTAAAACATGTCTTGGTGAGAGTCTAGAGCAAGGCGAGTTCACCAGAATCTGTCTGCATGTACTGTACATGAAGGTACATGTACTTCATAGCCAGAATGTGACCAGTATGGGACTTAAGGGCGTTTCGAAATGGGTTAGCTTTCGTTTTCATTTTTGCTGGTCCCAGTCAGAGTCTGGCATGCAATTTGGAATACTGCATCAAATGGCTGGAATCAGCAAAGCCGACAACTAAGCCTAATTCACTGATTTCAAAAATGCCCTAAGCTAAGGCTTGAGCCCTTGTTTAAAGAATTCGCTCACACGGCAGTAGTCTGGTTCCCAATCCCATTTTCATCGATGCATTCGGAGTTAGAAAATTTCAGGGGGGAGGGCGGGAAACAGTCTAGCTCGGCCGAAGTTTTCTGTCACTCATGCCTGCTCATCACAGGCCTAAATCTTGTTTTGTTAGGTTTCATCAAAGTGCAAGTCAACAAACGGTGATGGATACATTGTATGTCACAAGTCCAAAAGGTAAAGTTTTGTAGTAGAAAAAATATAGACTTGCAAAAGTAAACCAACAAAATGTAAAGAAAAAAAAATTGCCTAAAATATATTCAATTAATCTTCATATGTTTATGGAAAAACACAAGCACATTTTCACTTATAGCTTGGCATGTACATTTGTAGGTTTTGAGAGTTGACATTTGGTGCTTGATTTTATCTGTAAAATTACTCATCAAAAATAAATCTTGACTTTTGGCAGTAAAGCAAATGCATCTAGAACTGTTAAATGTAGACCAATACAGCACTAAACGATACTGTAAATATGTTCAGTTATTTGTCCAACTTGTCTTTCATTTTAACATGTCTTTGAACAGTGGAAACACTAACGGTTGCAGGAAATTTTAAAATGGTAGCCGTCTTGAAAAAAATACAAATAAAAAATAAAAAGCCCTGCTTTCTTCTATAAAAAAAAAATCCGGACAAGAAACATGGTTTTTTTACTTCGCCTAAAAACATTAAAAAGATTTACATTTACAGTTTAAAACTTCAACAAAAAAATTTCAAAAATTAAGCAAAAATAGAAGCCAACTGTAAATTTCATTTAAGCTGGCAATGATGGCTTAGATCAAATACATGATAAAGATACGATAATAAAGGTCAAAATGGCAATTCATATAATGATCTGACAAACGAACTTTACTCCATCCATATGGTACATACCCCCATACTACCACAGTGTACATCTTTATACATGTACATGTGTTTTTTATATACCAGTACTGCTGTGTGAAATACAAAATTTGTGCTTAAAGAAGTGCTACAAGCATCATAACTGAAATAAATGTAAATATGTAGAAAGACGATTCCAATTCTTTTGTATGAGCTGCACCAAAATACGTTACAGCTCACCGATTACAATAAACAACTAATGAAATTATACAATAGTACCCCAGTATATTCCTGCAGAACACTTTAGATCATGGGTCTCTCAGATCTCTCTGGAAATCACCACCTGACGTCACCACACACAAATCATTGGGGAAGGGGGTGGGAGAGAACGGAAACCAGCCAAGGCAGAGGCAATATGCAGCGCAGCAGGCAATCAATGATGTACAAATCAATTTCATGCTTGTGGTTACACTTATTGAAAAAACACCCGTTATTAGATTGGAATTGTGATTGTTGTTCTTACAGCATAGCTGTAAGGATCACAGGAAAAGGTGTTTGAGGTCAGGCAGAGGATGATGGCACATGAAAAACAATGCATGGATTGACTTGAAGGAACACAAACTAAAGAACGTGTCTAAAATGGGCTTCCAAGGCTACGGCTATGTCTATTGTAAGGGCGTCTCCGTATATTTCTAATGGAGGGAAGCCTAAATCTGGAAAAGTGAGAGCGAGACTGTGAGATAGAGAAACCATGAATACATTCATGAAGGGGTGATGTACAATGTATCAATATATCAATTTTACCCTAACCCCCTAGGGTGTATGTAAAATCATATTGAAATTGGAGGATTTGGGACTGTTAGGGTTAAAAAAATTGCAACTTTTCAGGGCTTTTAATAGCTAAGGCATAAAATCCCTCCCAAATACCGGTAGCTAATACGCTGTTACTTACACAGCTTGTTCTCTTATTTTGTTTCCCTTTTTCTTTCAGAAGAGGTGCAAAAGAAAGCAAAACCTAAATAAGTAAACTTTAAAACAGTTTTCAAAAATTGGGGGTAAAAAAATCTGACACAAAAGAGACCATGAAACTCTTCTCAATTGGGCTCACTTTTTTTTTCAAAGTATTCCCATAAATGGCTGTGTTTGAAAAGAGGACAAAACCCTCTTTTGGGAAGGAAAAACAGATGCTGGTAAAATGTAAACTTGTGTAAGAAAATAAGGTTGGGTCTACGCTTCTCTAGACATTTGAGGGCACTGCTGCTGTGATGTCATGCAGGGAAGACACTGTTCACTTTAAATGTTTCTCTGTTCAAACTGTGAAATGCAAATCTGCTCAATGTAAACAGTTCTAAGAAAAGGTACGTTGCCCACCATTGGATTATTCCCAAGTACACATATCTACACAATGGCATCACCATACCAGCAAAATATCAGCATTTCCTGGATTTTTTGTGCAAAAATCAACACAAAATTGAATTTTTCTCCCTGGATGTACATTTTGCCCATGGATATGACAATTTGTGCGTTAGCATGAAAACAGAAAAGGCCCCCCCCCAAATTTAAAAATCAGAAAACCAAAGTAAAAAAAAAAAGTCCACTAAAATTCAACGGTTGTGGTGAAAATGCACTGCAGAAACCCTTTGGAATGCATGAACTCATTGGTCTTCTATAAAAACCTACATGTGCATGTACACATACAATGTACATGTACACCTATTTTGACTATTTCTTATTTTCATCGGCTGTCCTCTCTCCTATCACTACAGTGATTTTGCAATGAGGCCTGTAAGAGCTCCGACAGACATGGGTCATTAAACGGCAGACTCCCTCAGCCTGAATAAATCACCACAGAGCCTTGGGTTTAATCTAAGATGGGAGCCACTCTAGTCCGGAAATGACAAAGGAACTGCTTGGAGAGTGTGAACTGAGCTGGTATGAAGTGATATTGGAGCCTCGGGCACTGGCTTGGCCATAATCAATGGCTGGGGGGGACGAGGATTGGTGTACATAATGAAAAACCCTCAACAGACATTTGTGTTTGGCAAATCTTCAAGCGTTTTCAAGATGACCATAACAAATTGAATTATTTTGCACACCCCGCACAATTCATCTACATGTCCACAAATTGTATTAAACAGTCAGTGTAAAATTTTAAATTAATATTTCTCTTGACATAAAATTTAAATTTCATTTGACATTCTCTGATAATGAAGAAAGTAAATGCTACCATGGTAACAATACCCAGTAACTACAAACCGAAACAGCTCTTTTCAAATGTGCTGTTTTTTTTATTCAACTACTCTTGGGATCACTGCTCAGCATACATTAACTTCTACAACATTTATTTTTACAGGTTACATATGTCAAATGTTATCGTTAATTCCATGCAATATGCACTTTGCTCAGGCATACACATATACATTTTTGTATCTTGCTAATTCACATACCCACATATCCATTCCAATTTTGCTGAGTTGGAAAATTCCCCTGCATCTTGAAAACCCCTTACCCGGCAAATCTCCATTTCAGCGGTACATGAGTTGGCTTAGACCTGATGATGACATCTTTGTCTATCGGTACATGTGTGCTTTCACATGGGCGCTGGCTGGATCTTGTCCCCCTCATTGCCAAACCACGATGTCATTATGTTCAAGGTTGACTCAATGTGTGGTTTTTCTTATGTTGGTACTGGGCCAAAGCACATGCACATGTACAGGAAAATGCTTGTGTCCTGCGGGACTGAAATATCTTGAAGGAAGTGCATGTCAGGGGTACATGCAGCTCTGAAGGCAATAAACATTTTAAATCACAACCAAGAAGGTGTAGTGTGCATGTACATGTACATACCTCATAAATTTACTCTCAGGCAACACAGCAATATGGCTTTTAGGAGCAGCTACATATAAATTTGTACAAATTCATGTATGAAGGTACATGTATATATGACCTCTCAATAATGACAGTTGTATATTGCTTCTCTACCACAATGCTCCAAACATCCAACAGGTGGTCTGGGCAGAAGCATTTAGTCTGCGGGGAGGGGTAAAATGGGATTTTGGCTTTGAAAAAAAAATCACCTTTTCTTTGTTTTCATACACAAAAGAATCCTCAACCCCTTCCTTAAACAACAATGGTAGCATCATTTCTAGATGCAAAATCGCGGTGCTTTCAATTCAATTAAAAAAAAAAACACCCAACATGTCCCCTACGGGACAATTCCTGTCCCCTCCCCATCTTCTTCCTCTGGTCACATCCATACAGATTTGGGAAGACTTCACAGCCACACGGGACTGTAGCTACATGTACAAGTACATGTAAATATTACTTCACATTTGACCTGATGCCCCTTTGAAACACTGAAAAGCAAATGTCACTGGGATTCCTACACGTAGACAATGCTGGATTTTGTTCCTGCATCAGCAAAAAATTCTCAGCTGGAGTTGAAATGGGGAAAATGTAATGTGAGACTCCCTGGAAATGGTAACAACAATCCTCATCATTGGGAAATGGACAGAAACCACACTGCTTCTCTCCGACAGAGACTAGAGGGTAATCAAAAAATTATTGAAATGTACAGGTACACAGTACGTTCAAGAGAGAAAAAAATAGAGATTAAAAAAAAACCTGCCCACCATTACATAAAATTAAGCTTTTACAGTAATGCACTTCTTGTGTGGGGGAGACGGTCTTTGAAGGTTTAGAATAAGCACAAAGAATGTGTCATATTATCCTTATGAAGAGGAAAAGCCTGATTTGGGGAATCTATATTTATGGGAAAATCCCAAGGGAAACTGAGGGGTCAATCCCACTGTGACACTTTCAAACATTGTATCAGTCAACAGCCAGAACAATGAATGTGCACACACTGCACATGATGTGCCTTGATCAGGGTTGTATGCGTATGCACCTTCAGGACAATTCAAAGGGTCTAAGGAAAGATTGTTTCAACAAGAAGAGTGCCTTTTCCCTTTTGTAATTGAGAATCTGACACTTGAAACCAAAAGGAGGACAATTCTTTTTTCTTTGTTTTTCACCGAACAGCAGACTGATGCGTGTCAATGCAGTGGTTTTCCCAATGTCTATGTGTGTGCTTTGAATCTGTCATCCACGTGATGAGCTTGAGGATGTCTGCATACATTTGCACTATTACCACTACCACTACTATTAACGCTAAACCTACAGAGCGCTTTTTCCATGCAAACAAGCATGTGCCATGTGGGAGATCATGACTGGTGTATAATGCTCCCTCTTGTTCACATAATATGCAACCACAATGTACATGTACGTGTACAAGAACTGTCATAGCCCAGACAATTACAGGGAGATTCATTCCCATGTTTTCAGATTCCTATGAAGCTCTTTATTTTTACCTTTTTGGCTCCGACCTTGAGGGCCTTTGCCCGAATCTCCTCAAAATCATCATCCTGTCCAACATCAGCCTGAAAAATGGTATTGTAGGAACAGTAATAATTAATATTAGGAAACAAACAGCTTTTCTTTTTTTTTAAGAAAACATTCATCAGATACAAGTTTCACTTTATGCCAACTTTACAGACATTCAGTTCATTGCAAAAGTCTGCTCTGTAATAAAAAAAAAGCTTAACAGAGCTACTCCCAGAGACTGATATAAAAACAGCACGACTCCATCTACACCAGAGGTAACAAAGGACAGTGGACTTCTGAACTCCAGTGCACAGAATCTATCCTGACCTTGAAATGCAAATTCCCTTCGGCTGTTGGATGCACATGTAAGTCAAAAGCACACCACAGATACTTTTTGTGGGACTAGGCAGGCGGGCCTTACCGTGTAAGCTATAACATCGTAACCTTGCTCAATCAACCACTTCAGGATACAGGAGGTGTCAAGCCCACCGCTGTAGGCGAGCACAACAACCTGAGGCTCTCCATCCTTGTTGGCCTTCTTGCGAGGAGGTTCAGCCATTTTGCTCCCTGGGTCGAAATCGGAAAAAGGGTCAATGTTAAAAGGGGAGAACGAATTGGTTTATACATATTATCACAGACAGCTTTAATTAAAAGGAAAATTACGTGGAGATCTTATTCAGACTGAGATCTCAAATGCAGAAAAACTGGCAAAAAACAAAACAGGTAAATTTCACTGACTACCACCTCATTCTCAGGGCATACTTTAAATTCAGTGCATGTATCAACAGAAGCCCCTATAACGGTTTCCATTATTGCTATTGGCAGGTACTGTCACAAGGCGATTTGAATTTTCCACTTAAAATTATTATAATTATATAATTATAACTAATTATGATTATTTTTTGCATAAACCTAATTTTCTCTCCACTATACAGGCTCCATATATTCCATCTTAAAGGATCTAAAAAATTATCCAGATCTGACAATCGTTGTGTTATCTTGAAAGGCACATGCTCCTCTATTGATTTATGCAAGTTTCATATATATACACACATATATGTACACACTGTACATTCTGACTCCTGCAGAACAATGGTAGGGTCCCCTTGAGGCTAATTTTTTGTCACTTGGTGAAAACAAACATACTCTAGGTCTGGGGCCGTTTTTGTGAAAAATCAAGCCTGCTGGGCAGTGTTCTAGCCACAGTGGGTGGTGCCCGGTGGCACCACACGGTCCTGTAAATTTCCACCCGGCTCTTGGGTTCAAATTGGCTGTGCCACCCATTTTTGCACAGATTTTTTGCTGAAAATGTACCACTTTGATCATATTCAAGCTTACAAAGTCGCAGTTTTGGACTATTTTGCAATAAAGACCTAAGAAATATATTTCTCATTTTCTTCATATCAAATCAGCCACTGATTACAAAAGCATTATTGTAAATATGCCTTCACAATGAGATAGGGGGAAATCCTTTCTGGAATTCCCCTAAAAACCCAGCTTTGGGCTACAAGAGCTCTGCTCACTGCGCTTGCTACGCTTAGTAATCCAAAAATTTACCAAGCACTCAAATGGTCCTAGCTAGAACACTGCTGCTGAACAAAAGAAAACCATAAACCTGTGAATAATCCTGAATCACCACCAGTGCTATCGTTACTACACTCTCACGGTACACTAACACTAAGTTTGACAAGTTTAAAAAACCATGAAGAGCACTTGGCACAAGACAAAAGAGCCCACATTCCTCATGAATGTCATGACGGCGAGCAGGTTTTACTCCAACTCTACCTTCAGTAACTATGTTACTAACATTGGTGCATCGCTCGCCAACAAAATCCCAACTAACTCCCACTCGACCCCCGGCAAGCT